CTAAACAAGATTGAAATCAAACCACATGTACCTATCATCAGCTTCAATAATCTGGCAAATATTCATCTATGCCAGATATCCTCTTCCTTTTAAATGATAAGCACTCTTTTCTAAAAGCATAATAACAATAGCATTATTATATGTAGAAAACTTGGCAATTTCTTAATATGTTCAACTACTCAGTCAGTTTCCAATTTTTTCCAAGTATCACATAGATTTTTTTTTTCATTTTATGTGACTTCTTTGGATCAGGATTCAAGCAGAATCCATACATTACATTTCATCAACGAGCATCTTATGTTTTTTTTGTTTTGTTTTGTTTTTGTTTTTAGAGGCAGGGTTTCACCATGTTGGCCAGGCTGGTCTTGAACTCCTGACCTCAAGCAATCCACCGCCTTGGCCTCCCAAAGTGCTAGGATTACAGGTGTGCCTCTTAAGTTATTTTTAATCTGTCACTTCCCCTTCTTTTTTTCCTCTAATTGTTTATTTGTTTATGACATCAGATTGTTGTCCTGTAACGTTTCCCTTTTTTTGAGATAGGATCTTACTCTGTTGCTCAGGCTTGAGTGCAGTGGTGCAGTTATGGCTCAGCACAGCCTCGACCTTCCAGGCTCAATTGATCCTCCCATCTCAGCCTCCGGAGTAGCTGGGACTACAAGTGCATGCCACTATGCCTGACTATTGTGTGTGTGTGTGTGTGTGTGTGTGTGTGTGTTTATTGTTTTTGTAGAGATGTAGTTTCACCATGTTGCTCAGTCTGGTCTTACTCCTGGGCTCAAGGAACCCACTCATCTTGGCTTCCCAAAGCACATTATAGATGTGAGCCACTGAGCCCAGCCCATGTTCTGACCTTGATGTTTAGTTTTCTGTTGGGCCATTTTTATAATTTTTTCTTAAACAGCACTGCTGAGTTATAATTGCACATATTTAGAACATACAATTTGATACGTTTTGACATATGTATACACACATGAAACCATTACCACAATCAAGATAAAGAATCTACCACCCTCACAAGTTTCCCAGTTTTCCTCAGTAATAATCCCTTTCTCCCAGTCCTTCCCACTGTCCCATCTTGAGTCATTAATCTGCTTTTTTGTCATTGTGGAGTAATTTGCATTTTCTAGAATTTTATGTCAGTCATACGTTATGTATTCATTTGCCACTTTCATTGAGCATAATTACCTTGAGCTCCATCCATCATTGTTGTTTCTCCTTTTCATTGCTGAGTGTATTTCTTTTTCTTTCTTTTTTTTTTTTTGAGACAGAGTTTTGCTCTTGTTTACCCAGGCTGGAGTGCAATGGTGCGATCTCGGCTCACCGCAACCTCCGCCTCCTGGGTTCAGGCAATTCTCCTCCCTCAGCCTCCTGAGTAGCTGGGACTACAGGCACGCGCCACCATGCCCAGCTAATTTTTTGTATTTTTAGTAGAGACGGGGTTTCACCATGTTGACCAGGATGGTCTCGATCTCTTGACCTCATGATCCACCTGCCTTGGCCTCCCAAAGTGCTGGGATTACAGGCGTGAGCCACCGCGCCCAGCTCAAGTATTTCTTTCATGAACCATGTCTTTGGTATGTGTCTAAAAAGTTGTTGTTGTACCCGAGGTCATCTATATTACATTTTGGTCTAGATCCACTTTGAGTTGACTTTTGTATTTTCTCATTCTGTCTGTGTTTAGATTCATTATTTTGCATGTGAATATCCACTTTTTCTGGTACCATTTGTTGAAAAGACAATCTTTGCTCAAAGATCGGTTGATTATACAGTTGATCCTTGAGCGACATAGGAATTAGAGGCATTGATTCCCCCAACATGTTAAAAATCCATGTGTAATTTTAAATGTTTTATTATTTATTTTATTTATGAGATGAGGTCTTGCTGTGTTGCCCAGGCTGGTCTCAAACTCCTGGGCTTAACAGCTCCTACTGCCTCAGCCTCCCAAAGAGCTAGGACTACAGGCATGATCCATCACACCTGGCTCACCATGTGTACCTTCTGACTCCTCCGTTTTGACTATTAGTAGCCTACTGTTGACTGGAAACCTCACCCAATAACATAAACGGTGGATTAATACATATTTTGCATGTTATATGTATTGCATACTATAGTTTTACAGTAAGTTAGAGAAAATATTATAAAAAATACCATAAGGATGGGAAAATACATTTTCTATTTATTAAGCTGAAATTGATTATCATAAAAGCCTTACAGTAAGCAAGTTAGAGAAAAGAAAATATTATGAAGAATATAAGGATGAGAAAATATATTTTCTTTTTTCTTTTTCTTAATTTTTTTTTTTTTTAAATGGGGTTTCACCATATTGGTCAGGCTGGTCTCGAACTCCTGACCTCAGGTGATCTGCCCACCTCAGCCTCCCAAAGTGCTGGGATTACAGGCATGAGCCACCATGCCCGGCTATGAAAATATATTTTCTATTTATTAAGTTGAAATGGATTATCATAAAAGTCTTCATGATGAGGAGGCTGAGGAAGAGGAGGAAGAAAAGAGACTGGTCTTCCTCTCTGGAGGGTAGCAGAGAGAGAAGAAAATCTGCATTTAAGTGGACCCACACAGTTCAAATCTGTGTTGTTCAAGGGTCAACTGGATTTATGTGAGTCTCTCTCTGGGCACTCTGTTCAGTTCCATTGATTTAACTTTCTTTCACCAATACCACACTGCTTGATTATTGTAGCTTTATTATTTTTTTTTTTCTTGAGACAGGCTCTTGCTCTGTTGCCCAGTCTGGAGTGCAGTGGTGCCATCGCAACTCACTGCAGCTTTGACTACCTGGATGCATGTGATTCTTCCACTTCAGCCTCCCAACTAGCGGGGCTGGAGGTGCGTGCTACTATGCCTAGATAATTTTTGTATTTATTGTTGAGACAGGGTTTCATTATGTTGCTTAGGCTAGTCTCAAACTCCTGGACTCAAGTGATCCACCTGCCCCAACCTCCCAGAGTGCTAGGATTACAGGCGTGCACCACTATGCCCAGCTAATTTTTGTATTTTTAGTAGAGGTGGTGTTTCACCACGTTGGCTAGGCTGGTCTCAAACTCCTGGCTTCAGGTGATCTGCCTGCCTTGGCCTCCCAAAGTGCTAGGACTACAGGTGTGAGACACCACTCCTTGTTTTTTTTTTATAGTACCACACTTTTTCCTCCTTGGTTAAGTTGATTTGAAAGTATTTTGTTCTTTTTGATGCTATGGTAAATGGAGACTGTTTTCTTAATTTTTTTAAGATAATTTTTTTAAGATACCCATTACAAGGGTATACAAACACAACTGATTGTTTTGTGATGAGTTTGTATCCTGCAATTTCAATGAATTTGTTTATTAGTTCTAACAGGATTTTGTGTGTGTGTGTGTGTGTGTGTGCGAAAACTTTAGTTTTCTACATGTAAGATTATGTTGTTTGTGAACAGAGATAATAATTGGATTTGTTGGAACTTTAAAAAAAATCCAGTCAGCCACTCTGTGCCTTTTGATTGGTAAGTTAAATAGAGTTACATTTAACGTAACTATTGATAGAGAAGGGTTTACTATTCCCATTTATTTTATGCCTGTCTTGTAGCTCTTTTTGTCTTTTTAAAATTCTCTTATTTTGTGTTTCATTGACTATTTTTTGTATTGATGTTTTGATTCGTTATTCTTTTGTGTAACTGTTAGTTATTTTCTTTGTGATTATCATGAGCTTACGTAAAATACCTTATAGTTAAAACAGTCAATTTTAATTGGATAATAATTTAATTTCTATCATTTACAAAAACTATGGACTTTCACTTCTCCATCTGCACACTTTACATTATTGATGTCACAATTTACATTTCTTTATATCATGTATCATTACATTTTTTTTTTTTGAGACAGAGTTTTGCTCTTGTTGCCCAGGCTGGAGTGCAGTGGCATGATCTCAGCTCACTGCAAGTTCCACCTTCTGGGTTCAAGCAATTCTCCTGCCTCAGCCTCCCAAATAGCTGAAATTACAAGTGCCTGCCACCATGCCTGGCTAATTTTTTGGTATTTTTAGTAGAGACAGGGTTTCATCACCTTAGCCAGGCTTGTCTCAAACTCCTGTCTTCTGGTGATCCACCCACCTCAGCCCCACAAAGTGCTGGGATTATAGGCATTAGCCACCATGCCCAGACTAAAATATTTTTTATTTATAGTTATTTAAAATATTTTTGTCTTTTAACTTTTATACTAGATTTTAAAGTAATTTACTCACTACTGTTACAGTAATACAGTATTGTTTGTCTGTAAATTTACCTTTACTGAGTTTTATACCACTTTTTTAATTTATAAGATTTCTGTTAAGAAATTCATGTATAGCTTTAGTTTCCCTCACATGTGACATGTTGCTTTCAAAATTCTCTGTTTGTCCTTGTATTGTAGCTGTTTTTTTTTTTTTTTTTTTTTTTTTTTTTTTGAGATGGCGTCTCACTGTATCACCCAGGATGGAGTGCAGGGACACAATTTGGCCTCACTGCAAACTCTGCCTCCCAGGTTCAAATGATTCTTGGGCCTCAGCCTCCCAAGTAGCTCGGATCACAGGCATGTGACACCACACCTGGCTAACTTTTGTATTTTTAGTAAAGATGAGGTTTCATTATGTTGGCCAGGCTAGTTTCAAACTGCTTACCTCAAGCAATCTGCCACCTCAGCCTTCCAAGTGCTGGCATTACAGGCATAAGCCACCACACCCAGCTACACCCAGCCAGTCCTTGTATTTTGATAGTTTTGTTATAATGTGTCTCAACATGGATCTCTTCGAATTTATCTTAGTCAGTTTTCTTTGAGTTTCCTAGATGTGGATATTTATTTCTTTCCCAAGATTTTGGACGTTTTCAGGGACTATATCTTTGAATCAGTTTTCTGGTCTTTTCTCTCTCTATTTTCCTTCTGAGACTCCTATAATGCACATATTTGTCCACTTGATGGAGTCCCTTTAAGTCCTTTGAGCCCTTTTTACCCATTTTCATTTATTTTTCTTTCTTCAAGGCAGGCTCTCTCTGTTGCCCAGGCTGGAGTGCAGCACAGTCTCAGCTTACTGCAACCTCTGCCTCCTAGGCTCAAGTGATTCTCACCTCAACCTCTAGAGTAAGTAGCTGGGACTACAGGAGCATGCCACCACACCTGGCTAATTTTTGTAGAGATGGGGTTTCACCATGTTACCCAGGCTGGTCTTAAACTATTGGTCTCAAGCAATCCACCTGCCTCAGTTCCCAAAATGCTGGGATTACAGGAATGAGCCAACACACCTGGCTTCTTTTTTATTCTCCTCTGACTGAATAATTTCAAATGGTTTTCCTTGAGTTTGCTGATTCTTTCTTCTGCTTGTTCTAGTTTGAATTTTCATTTCACTTATTGTATTCTTCAGCTCTAACATTTCTGTATGATTCCACTTACAATGTTTAATCTCTTTGTTGAAATTCTCATTTTGTGTGTTTTTTTTTTTCTTTCTTTCTTTCTTTTTTATAAAGACGGTGTTTCACCATGTTGGTCAGCTGGTCTTGAACTCCTGACCTCAGGTGATCTGCCTGCCTTGGCCTCCAAAGTGCTTGGATTACAGGCGTGAGCCACCATGCCCGGTCTCATTTTGTTTATGTATTGTTCTCCCGAACTTGTTGAGCATTTTCATAATGGTTACTTTTAGTTTTCTGTCAGGTAGTTCATATATATCTGTTTCATTAGGGTTGGTTTGTCGCAGTTTACCTTGTTCCCTTGTTTGAACTGTTTTCCCTATTCCTTTATCTTCCTTGACTCTTTGTTGTGGTATCTGCACCTTAGAAAAAGTAGCTGCCTCTCCTGGTCTTTATGGGTTGACCTCACACGAGAAGTCCTTACCATCAACTAAATCAGAGATTCTGGGGACCCCTCAAATCTTCTCATGTGTGTTTTCTCTGAACTTGTGCATATGAATTTCTATTCAGTGTAACTTGCCATTTTTAAATTTGGGGAGTTTATAATTCCTTGCTTCCCCTGGTGTGTGTTTTCTGTACCATGAATCTTCTGAGTCAGCAGCATGCCCTAAGCTCTTTTTTTGTTGTCAACTGGACCCGGGCATCTAGAGTATGGTAGCTCCATCAGCACTTGGAGCCAGAAGCGAGTTCCTCACCTAGCCCCATGAAAAGTTGGAACATTGAGTATAGGTTCCAACTCTTTATCTCCTTAAGGGAGAAGCTAAGATTTGGGAGTTTTTACACGCTCATTCTGTGCTGAGCCAGGAGAATGGACTGTCGTGAATGAGTGTGTGCTAGTCCAAATTGCTGCCTTTGTTCTCAGATGCTCTAAGGCATCTAGAGTATGTCATCATACCCCTTCAGCACTCTTGAGACAAGTTAGGAGACAGTCCCCCAGGCAGCCTCTAAAAACTTGGAACATTGGATTCATGGTCCATTTCTTTTCCTCTCTAGGGAGAAGCTGGGCTATGAGGGTTTCTGCCCATTCGCTCTGCATTGAGCTGGGAAGGACGGTCTATGGTGAGTTTATGTTTTCTAATACAACATTACTTTCGTTCTCAGCAGCTCCCAATCTAGGGCCCTTTGCCATCAGTGTTCAGATTCAGACAAGACAGAAGCTAGTTCTTCAAGTGGCCTCCAGAGAAGTCAGAATGTTGGAACTATTATCCAGTCTTTTCCCACCCACCACCCTCCAAAGAAAAGCTGGAAGCTGGAGTTTTCGTACTGATTGTGCAGTGTGGTGTTATGGGGAGTGATTGTGGCAAGAGGGTTGCCTCAAATTTTTCTTCCAGCTTTGATGCAGCTAGTTTCACATTCATTCATTGTGTAAGAGACTCTACATTGTTCTCTGAATTTCTCACGAGGGGAAATCAGTCTGTGAATTGTTGCTGAATTTGTCTGTCCATAGGAGAAAGGAGGGTCAGAGATTGCTATTCTGACATCTTTCTGATATCACTGAGGTGTTAATTCTTATTGAGCTTTGACAGTTTGTTACATATTACAGATGTAAGACTTTTTACTAGATATCCTTTCAGCAATATTGTCTTACAGTCTGTGGTTTGTCTTTTCATTCTTTTAACAATGTCTTTCAAAGAGCAGAGGTCTTAATTTTGATGAAATCATTGTTTTCTCCAGCAACGCTATTACATTTCTTTGGTCAACTTGCTTTCTCAGTTCCACAAAGACTACTTCAAAATCTTTCCACTCCTTTCAAACTTCCCTTACCATTGCTTTTGTTCTGAGCAGATGGCCCCACATCCTACTACAGAAAGTGGAAGTCATAGTACGGAAACCCCCCGAACTTCCCTCCAACCACTTTACACGAGTACCTGGATTTCTACCCATGATCTCTTTGTTCTGCCCTGATACAATGAAGGAGGTGTTCTTTCTCTCATCCTCTGAGATCAATCGTTTCACCTGTTATCTGGTCCTCATTTCTTCTTTCCTTTTTCTACTCAGACTTCAGCCTTAAGCTATCAAGTGTCTTTTCTGTCTTCTCTATCTTTGGCCTTTCTCTTTACTCTTTTATTTTCCAAACCTGTAAGCTTGACTGCACTCTATCACTAAAAACAAAGCAAAACAAAATCTTTATTTTACCTAATTTTCCCTTCTAGCAATAGCCATATTTCTTCCCTCTTCTTTATAACCCAATTTCTCAAGTAATAGGTCTAGGATTTTGTGAGGTAAAATAGAAACTGCCAACAGCGATGTATAAGTTGGGCACAGGGGGTGGGGGTGCTTGAAGAAAACATTGGGACAGCAGCAGACCACCAGGGTACCTTGGCTTTGGGGTCAGGGTTAATCTAAGGGATTGCGTGCCAAAGCTAATAGGTAAGATATGCTTGACTGTGGCTTGCTGAGCCAAACAGTATGAAGAGTAGGGCATAACTGGGTCTAGAATTAGTTTCTTTATTTCAAAATTTAAAATAATAGCTACTTTACAGCATTGTTTTATTTTATTTACTTATTTATTTTTTTGAGATGGAATTTTGCTCTCGTTACCCAGGCTGGAGTGCAATGGCGTGATCTCGGCTCACCGCAACCTCCGCCTCCTGGGTTCAGGCAATTCTCCTGCCTCAGCCTCCTGAGTAGCTGGGATTACAGGCGCACGCCACCATGCCCAGCTAATTTTTTTTTTTTTGTATTTTAAGTAGAGACAGGGTTTCACCATGTTGACCAGGATGGTCTTGATCTCTTGACCTCGTGATCCACCCGCCTCGGCCTCCCAAAATGCTGGGATTACAGGCGTGAGACACCGTGCCCAGCCAGCATTGTTTTAAAGATTAAGTGAGTTAATGGTATTTTTTTTTTGAGACAGGGTCTTACTCTGTCACCAAGGCTGGCATGTAGTGGCATGATCATAGCTCATTGCGGCCTCAAACTCCTAGGCTTAAAGGATCTCCTGCCTTAACCTCCTGTGTGTCTGGGACTACAGACACCACAATGCCAGCCAAACTAATTTTTAAAAAATTTTTTGTAGAGATGGGGTCTTTCTATTTTGCCTAGGCTGGTCTCACACTCCTGGACTCAAGTGATTCTCACTCCTTGACCTCCTAAAGTGCTGGGATTATAGGAATCAGTCACTGCGCTCAGCCCTGTCTAGTGCTTTGGACATTGCCTTACTCATTCATTTGGTCATTCATCCGTAAAGACACATGTATCAGAAAGTTTGCTATGCATTAAGGACACAAAGAAGAGTAAGACAAAAGGTCTGCTTTTGATGAACTCACAGTCTTAGGACAGTCAAGGCATAAGCATACAATTTTAATTCAGCAAGGTGAATGCTGTGATTGATAAGCACAGGGTGTTTTGGGAGTTTGAAGAAGGAAGCATATAGCTTAGGGCGAGATGCATGGAAGAAGTCTTCCTGATTGAGGTAAAACTCGAGCTGATTTTTTTTTTTTTAATGGAGTCTCTGTCTTTCACCCAGGCTGGAGTGCAGTGGCACAATCTCAGCTCACTGCAACCTCTGCCTCCCGAGTTCAAGTGATTCTCCTGCCTCAGCCTCCAGAGTAGCTGGGATTACAGGCACTCGCCACCATGCCTGGCTAATTTTTGTATTTTTAGCAGTGACGGCATTTTGCCATGTTGGCCAGGCTTGTCTCGGTCTCCTGACTTCAGGTGATCCACCCACTTCAGCCTCCCAAAGTTAGAGCTGATTCTTAAAGTGAATAGGTGTTAGCAAAAAAAAAAAAGAGAGAGAAGGCAGGCAGGGGAAAATTTTAAAAGTTCCTCTGTACAAATAGTTCAACTTCAAGGCACTGGAATTCCATGCTTTACTTAGTTAAAACAAATCATACTGCTAAGAAGTTATTTATTTAAAACTCATTGACCCGTTTGAATGATATGTAAAGAAAAAGATATTATACGATAATACAAGGATAGGGCAAAGCTTTCTTCATTGGGGTGAAACACAGCAGGAGTTGCTATAGTCAGAATGACACAATCTATTTTAAGGAACCTGGTGGCTGGGAGCCTAGGTAAGACTACGACCAATACTTAAATTGCTTAGATGGTGCCCCCATGGTCCAGAATTTTGGTCCTCGGCTTTGATGGTGCTGGAAGTAGATCGTCAGCTAAAAAAGATGGCCAACCTTTTGGGATACCAGTTAAATTTAAATACAGATGCATATGTTCGTCTCCTGAATATAATGCATTCCCTTATAATAAATATAAAACTTCTGTAAACTCAAATACTCACGTTGACATGTGGTATCAAACCGACATGTTGTCATGATTGGTAGATTTGGTACCAATATACCAAAGCATGGTAAGTAGTGCCTTGAGAGCCTGAATTCAGAACAAAAGGAGCTGGCTGGGGTGAGCAGCTCTCTGGTTTAGAAAAGGAGCTGGCTGGGGTGAGCAGCTCTCTGGTTTAGAAAAGTGTCTGCGCAACATGGGCTCAATTTCTTGTTCTGATTCTTCAAAATCGTGATTCATGTGATTTCATAGAACGTTTGAGAGCTAGATAGCTCATAGTAACATAAATTCAGAGTATTATGCATATTATTATTATGGAGAATAATTACATGCATATACATAGGAAAAGGCATGTAAGATTATATAACATATGAAGAGCAGTTTTCTGTATGGAGTGGAAACATGAGCATTCCTTATTTTACTTTTGTTTTCTTAATCTGTGATTTCAAAATTACCTGTAATGAAGATGTGCTACCTTTGCAATAAAGAAATATTAATGTGGTAAATACCATGGGGAGTAGCAGACAGGACTAGTTAGAAGAATATTGGAAAGGCGGCAGTGCTGCCAAAAAAGAACTTCTTTTTAGTTTGGACTAAAACTAAGAAGGGACTATTTTTAGCAAAAGAAGTTTTTTTTTTTGAGATGGAGTCTCACTCTGTCCCTCAGGCTGGAGTGCAGTGGTGTGATCATGGCTCACTGCAACCTCTGCCTCTGGACTCAAACGATTCTCCTGCCTTAGCCTTCTGAATAGCTGGGATTACGGGCACATGCCACCACCACTCAGCTAATTTTTGTATTTAGAGTAGAGATGAGGTTTCACTATGTTGCCCAGTCTGGTCTCCAACTCCTGACCTCAGGTGATCCTCTCACCTTGGCCTCCCAAAGTGTTAAGATTATAGATGTGAGCCACCACACCCAGCCAGTTTTTAGTACAAGTTTTAAATGCCCCTCCCATTGTCACATTCAGCACTGAAAATGTTTATCTCGCATAAAGAATGCGCATTAAAATCATTTACAAAATCTGAGCATGCTCTTGGCTATAATGCAAGTATCCACAACTCACAGAGAATCAACAGCATGTCCATCACAACGAAATTAGAATCAGTAAGAAAATAGTAACTAATTTTCCCCCAAACATTTGAAAATAAAAACCCCACACATTTAGATAATTTACAAATGATAGAAGAAATCAAAAGCAAATTAAAGAAAATACTCAGAACTCCGTGATACTAAAAATACTGCTCATAGCTTGTGAGATGCAGCCGTTCATTGTCTATGCACCTGTTTCTCTCAGGGAATTGTGGGGAGGGACCTCCAAAGTGTGCCGAGCATCTTACTTAGGCCATATCAGTTTTATTTTTATTTCATTTTGTATATTTATTTTTAGATGGAGTTTTGCTCTTGTTGCTGAGGCTGGAGTGCTATGGTGCAATCTTGGGTCATTGCAACCTCCACCTCCTGGATTCCAGCAGTTCTCCTGCCTCAGCCTCCTGAGTAGCAGGGGTTACAGGCACCTGCCACCACGTCCAGCTAATGTTTTAATTGTTTTTTCTTTTTAAAAAATTTTTAGTAGAGGTGAGTTTTCACCATGTTAACCAGGCTGGTCTCAAACTCCTGACCTCAGGTGATTCACCCACCTCAGCCTCCCAAAGTGCTGAGATTACAGGCATGAGCCTCCACTCCAGGCCCATTTTTATTTTTTATATCATTTATATTTATATACAAAGTGGAGCCAACATATATTACTTTCTCAAATTAAAAAAAAATTTGTAAGGGCCACATTACTGATGTTAGATTCTGATTTTAGTTAAAGGTATAT